GGGGGGGGACCACGGCATCTCCAAGCGAACATCATAAAAATCGCCGATAAAAGCCGCGGGAGGCTTCCTCTGCTCGCCACACCATGTACACAGAGAACACTGCAGCTCAAAGGCGGGCGCCGGCAACTCACTTCGACCAACAGAGCCGATATATCTGAAAGCGCACTGGACGCTGAACGCACTGCAAGTAAGGCAGTGAGCGAATCAGATCCAGATGGAAAGAGCGAGGTTTTCAATGCAATTTTATGACTTCTAGGGGAGCGATATCAATTAAATCGCTCGTTTAGAGTCGTTTTCGCGACATTTTCGGTTACGATGAAGACTCATAATGAGTAATTTCGCAAAATATCGCTAGAGCGATGAAGCCATACGTCGCTCTATTCGCTCAAAAAACCCACTCTAAGTTTTACACGAGTTTTACAGTGCGTTGTTAAATGTCGCAGGTGTTCGTGCGCGCGTGTTTATTTGTCGTGTTGTTTTGTTGTTGTTTTTTGTGAGTGCGAGATACCGAGAAGCGAGGGAGGGAGGGATGGAGGGAGATAGGGCGGGAGGGAGGGAGGGAGGGAGGATAGGAAAGAGTCTACACCCATGGGCCAATATTTATTTTGACGACCGGTGGGTACGAGAGCGCGGCGGCGGCACCGGGTCGGGTCGGGGCGCGAATAAATGAGAGGCGGGTCGTATTTTCGATATCGGGAAGATATTGGGCGGCTGATGAAGAGGCGACCATCCAGATGGGGCTCACTCGCAGCACTCTCACGCGGCCTTCACTTCTATTTTTTTTCCACCTTTCTTGTCCTTTGTCTCTGTGGCTAGCTGCTGATTGTTCCCCCTCCATCCCCCCCCCCTTCCACACACACACACACACACACACACACACACACACACACACACACACACACACACCGCCCCCTCTTGTCCCCCTATGTGTCATTACATTCAGGCGAGCGAAATTAAATTGAACCGCAAAAGGGGAAAGGGAGGGGGAAATAAGGGATGAAATGACATGAACACACTGTATTATGATACTTTTCGTTTAACATTTGTGCAGGACCCGTTGTAAAACAAATTTGGACAAAGCATAATTGACTTTAACACGAATGTCTATTGATTGCACAGCAACTGATCTACTAACCTAGTTCGACAGCGCGTAAGGCGCCATGGCCCCTAGGCTAGTAGGCAAACCCGTATACGGTAGTGTCGAAGCCCTGACACGCGGTATTGTCCGCTCAAACTTTTCCTCCCCGAAACCTGCGACCCCAGCAGCACGCGCTTACAGAGTGGACCGCATCCATTATTTTCGACCGAACGTTTTTTTCCCCTTTCACATTGTCCCCCCGCGAATACAGCGGTTTTTCTTGTTTTTTGTTTTTTCTGTGGCGAGGGTTGTCGCACGTTGCGCGGTCACTTCCGCCCCCGCGCATGATTGACATGCGCGTCCCTTAAATAATTTATTACCATCCAATCAGCAGACCCCCCCCCCCCCCCCTCCTTCATTCTGCCATCCGTGCGGGCAAGCCCTGGCTTTAGGCGAGATTGATGAATATCGACACGACTTTTCTATAAATAGCGCAACGATGAGGAAAAACTTTGCGTGGAAAAAAAAATGATCGATGTGCTTGAGCTGATTGCTCTCGTTAATGGGGGAGGGGGGGGGGGAGGTTGATGGCTATTACCAGCCCGAGTGTGATACTACCACAGGGCCGGAGGGTGCGTGTCAGGTTAACCAGAATCATACTACTGCTCGCGGGAGGGCCCCGCCGCCGCTGCTCGTATCGTAGAACCGCCCTATAGCGCGTGTATCGAGAGATCGCGCTCAATTGACACTCTGAAAAATAGTGGTATGCTTACGGAAAAACTTTCAGATTTTTTAAACATTGAAGTTTTATTAATTTCATTCAATAGTCATTAGAGAGCAGCTTCCCACATCTTAGCAGTACCTCTCCTGGCATGAGCCTCTTTCCGTAATGTCCGCCCGGCAGTTGAGCAATTGAAAAGACAAGATTGCGCGCCAAACAGCCAAGTCGTCTTGTTAATCCAATTTTTCAACTCCAAGATATAGCCATGAGAGAGGGCACTCCTATTCGTGATGAGGAACGAAATGCTTCCTCTCGTAATCGGTGCGAGAATCGCCTTAATTTGCATGATCTCAAACGAGTAGAAACTTTTCTCTTCCGTAAAATAATATCACTTGACCCTGTGAAGCCCTATGAGGAAATTTGTTACTCGAGTTGGCTGTCAAAGTAACACGACGTTGAACCACATTTATGGCGAGGGTGCAGAGTCTCCGTTTGAGCCCGGACTACTTTTTAGTAAGTTTTGCTGTACCGCATGCTGGCATTTGGGCGTGTCCCACTCCGGGCCGTGATGCTTCACGGGTCTGCATCTGCAGCCCTCCAGGACCCACCGGGCTCCCCCGTCGTTTGATAACAGCCGCATACCGCATACGTCGCCGTGCAGGCCGAGGTGCACGCGCATGGCCCTTCGCTGAGCAGAGTCCATACCCCGTGCGGCCAGTAACGTCAAAGGCATTTCGGTCACGGCAAGATGCATCATCTTGACGGCACTAGACTCACTCGCCCCCGCGCATCTCGATCTCGCTGCGGATGCCAATATTGCACGGGCCAATGCGAAACACTGCGCCCAGCATGCAGGGGACAGTACTATATATTTGCCAAACATTTGCCAAACATCCGGACGAGGTGAGGACTGCAAGACTTGCCTTCCTCCCTCTGGCCCCTCCCGCCGACAGGTTGCCGAGCTCTTACCTCTGTCAAGGCTCCGTCGCGGCCGTCATGTTGACCTCCGAGTGCGAGTGCGCGCCAGGGGCAGCGAGCCTGCTCAGTCGCCTCCACACGCACGGTCCGTCGCCCTGTCAACAGCAACGCGCCACGCGGTCCGGGGGGTGGGGTCCCGAGGGTCCCCGAGGGTCCCGGAGGGTGCGGCTCGGCCGCCCGTGCCGTAACCGAACACGCCGCGCGCTCGCCTCGCACTCGGCAAGCCGCGCTGCCGCTCTCGCGTCGGGCGGGGCGCGTCTCGCCTGGGCTAGCCTCCGCGGGGCTCTGGCTGGCTCTGCTGGCTCCGTTGCCGCTGGGCCCTCGCGCCAGCCCGCCCCGCCCTCGGACCCACCGCCACCACCCCGGCAGCTGCCTCCGGCCTGCGCAGCCGGCGCAGTCTTGCGCGCTGGCCTGTAGGCCGCCGAAAGACAGCTGGAGCCCTTCGCGCTATGGTCTACTGTAGACTGTCGTGGGCCTTCGCGCTACACCAGGAGCCCTATGGCGCTGGACTGTAGGCC